ACCAATTCCTTATTTACCTCATAAATTTTTACATAAACCTCTGCTACTATTGATTTAAAGTTTGTACATTATGTAATCCACCATTTTGCGTTGAATGAGCTATCTACCAACCTAATCTGACGTCATTCGTCATATGTAATGAGCTGAAAACCTTCATTTTTGACGAAATTCACCCATTTTCTTCACTTTTCACAGCTGCTACTCTCTTTTTCTTGCCCATGTAATACAACATCATCTTCTATAACCTTAAAAATCCCGGAAAATACTCTTGGCAACCTTAAATTCCACTACCACTATTACCACTGCGTCCACCACCTCCCTTCTCGACGTCGAGAAGGGTAGAATGGTCAGAGTTTGGTGCGAGAAAGGTCTTTTCAAAAAAATCGTTTCTTCCACTCATTCAAAAACTCAGCAACCCTAAGCAGCCTAAAGCTATTTGAAAACCTAGACAGCTCAGACCTGCGCATCACCGTACCACCTGATTTTATTCAACTGAACGATTCCCCCTTGCCCATTCAATCAATATTCCTCCAAAGGATGCATTCCAAACGAAATGATCAATAACCATCCTAGTAATATCCTTTCAACCAATAATCACAACAACAATCCTAGCTCAAGTACTCTACCTACCTTAACTTCTATCAATAGCAACGATTATAATGTTTTGTTAGGGCTGGATGATTTGTTTGTATCGATCTCAGTGGTAGATGTGCATTTGGTTTGCCCAGAGGTCACACTCGGCTGAAACCCAAAGAACCAGCTTGCGAGTCAAATACCAGAGATAAAGAAAGGACCTGTGACACGAACCATGTGACACACTGTAGCTGTTAATGCCCCTTTAGGCCTACCACCACAGAATGCATCACAAAAACTCGTAAGAAACCATTGAAATGCTGGTTCTGAAGTGTTATCGTCGGGTTTCATCTGAAAAAGTGCTGACCACCCTGATATCACTCATTTTGCGTGGCCGTGAAAACAGACAGAGAGAATTTGAAGTAGTGCGCATATAATCAAGTTTGAATGGTTTGTGAGTGTCACCTTGGATGTCACGCGTCCAGAGGTAATATCACCTGACTGTCACAAGGCCTCAGTGAACTTGACATGACCGAGGGGGCCGAGCAGCGTTCAACGTGATCAACACGTCCAAGATTCCGTAAAGCCTTCTTCACGTCGAATTCTAATTTCAGCTCGAACACGATTGAGACACCAACTGTCCTGATTCAATCATCATTCATATACCAATCCACATTCGATCTCACAGGAAACATCGCCCTCTTGGACTGAAAAATGTCTCAACCACGACAAAGCTTAAACCCACCGAATTGACCTCCAGAAGATGAATCAGAGCCAATCCCTTCCCCAGCTCAAATGTGGGATGAAACAACTACATTAGTTCAAGATACCACAGAAGTCATCAAGGAAGGTATAGATGAAGATCCTGAACTGGTTTATCAAGCACTCAATCAAACTTTTAAATGGTTAGAAAGATGTCGAGAAAAATTAGAAAATGGGAGGAATGAAATGAATCGTGAGTATCATCTTTGGTAAAAAAATATTCTACGAGTCTTGAACTACTGATCGATTTTGAATATTCATTTATTTGCGCAAAGGAAGGTTTCGAGCGTCAAGCTGAAGCTAAGCAAGAGGCTTTGGACAAGATGAAAGCCAACTCAGTGGTGAGAGAAACACAAGCAGAGATTTACGCACTCGAACAGGATTCATATGAAGAAGCGAGAAAGTTGAAAGTTTGTAACGTTCCATCCTCAATTGCTAAAATCAGTCAAAGAGCTAACCAGAATGCTGGTTTAGGAGCTTGATAGTAATGTAGGGGTCACCAAGGCTCAAATCGCTCGTTTGCAAGCTGAGTGCGAACAACTTGAACATTATGAGCCTAGTCGGTCCGGCGACTTTGTTTTTGGTACTTCATTGTAAGTTTTACATTCCAAGATATGTAGAGCCGGTATTGTTAACATTTATCATTACAACTCAGATTGAAAACCAAACTTAATCATGAACTCGGGTTCGTACAAGTACCCCGCCGGACAACATCTGAAAAACCCTCTGACAAATTATTTCTGTGTAAGTTTCACACTTGTACCGCTTGACCTCGTCTTCCACTCATCCCTCGCTAATTATCCTTGGTTGCATGATATTCAAACACAAAAGGATGTGATTTACATCCTGAATCTTCACGAGTGGTCCGGAAAGCTGAAAATAATCGAGATGGATTTGTCTTGGGTAATCAACTATGGGATTTGATTTCACCTTGAGTCGAGCAACTCCGTCACTTTGACAACTTGTAAATCAGGACCTGTACTTTCCAGCATATTGTAATTTTACTCCAGGATTTATATCTCTAAGAACAAAGTTTTCGGTGTGTGTTCTAATACCTCAGTTCATCGCGTTGTTTGACCAGATAGGCTCAGAAGGTGCGACTGGGCTGTAAAGTAAACAATCAAGAAGTCAATATTCTAATACTCCCTTGCAACGTACTCGTCTATTTTTGAACATGATACATGTGATTTTCAGAAACCAACCTGTGATCCCAGACATCTTCACTATTAGGTCTTTCCAAGATCTTCTCAGCTTTCCTTTGATGCCACAAACCAGCACATTGTTCTTTATCAAGAGCTTTCAAACTAAGACAAAATTTGAAATCGTCCAACTTTGATGGACATGAATGATTTGATTCACCATAGCGATAGATTGATTTAAGTTGATTTGAGAGTGAATAACATAATAAAAGGTTATCAAAGGCTGTTAGACATGAGATTGATTTGTTGCCTGAGATTAAGTGAGTATGAAGTTCTAAGGAATATCCTGAGGCTGAGAATCTAACGTCTGAGGAATTCCCTGAGGCTCAATGGCTTCTGATCAATCACTCGTGCATCTCTCAGTCTATGCTGAGTGGGATACTCAGTAGTGAAACTAACCCGCAATAAAGTTGGAACAAAGTTGAACCAAATCGGGACCTTCTACCCTTCTCGACGTCGAGAAGGGAGGTGGTGGACGCAGTGTACATAACCAAACTACACGTGTACCTCTTGTTTACACCGCGGGAATCAATGGGTTCGAAACCCAATTGGAAAAAGTTGCGGTGACAGGGTCCGCAACTTGCTCCAATCGCTAATTGCGTTTGCAATGTGTTCACAATTGGTTCGCTGTACATCATCAATACCGTCACGGTTGCAAGCTATCAGGCTTTGTGCCATGTTTCAACCTTGTTCAATTTACCTCTTTATAAAATATTGGAGCCTCGTTTTAAGATCAGACACGGCAAGCATTGTCTCTTTTGAGCAGGTGACAAAACTTCTCAGGAGTACTCACCACAGATAAGTACCCTTTAGAGGGAGTATGCACCGGGGTCCTAAGCAAATCATTTCATTTAAAACAATGTTCAATCACACCGGATACATCTTCTGGCATAATGTATCAAGACCATTCGAAAGTGCTATCACGTGCCTAGCTGCTACTAGCTTTGATTGTGCTCTCTCGAGGGCGTACAGCGAACCAATTGCGAACCAATTGCGAACGCAATTAGCGATTGGAGAAAGTTGCGGACCCTGTCACCGCAACTTTCTCCAATTGAGTTTCAGACCAATTGATTCCTGTGGTGTTACCAACTTCAAAAAAGTACCTTTTCTCTAATAACTTTTGTTTCTTCTTATCAACCTTCAAGATTAAAATTGTTACAGTATACTATACTGTTGTTCTTTCCTATTCTAACCTCATAATACCCATAACTTTATTTTTACTACCCCAAAAACCATTTCTCAACCTGTATACCTATATTTTCGAATTTTTCTTATGTTTTTCTTTCTTTCTTATTGTAATGAATTTGTGAATGAACTCTAATGATCTTAATAAGTAATGTGAAATAAAACAATGTAATACCAACCCAATGACCAATACATAAGCCTATAAGAGCTTCAATTGATCCAAAAACCTCCATTTCGAATTTTCTGTCCTGCTAAATCTTTCTAATCAACTGGTAAACTACTTATTATGAATTTTTTAATTGATCCCTTAACACTACCCAAAATTTAAAGTTTTCCGGGCAGAAAACTAAATTATTTCTATTACACAATTACACAATAACAAAATATGATACTAGGGGCATTTGAATGTTCAAACCAAATTTATTGCACCCTGTGATTATCAATTGGATGAGCCTCATATCTTATTCAGCTAGTCTAATGTCAAACTACATGGTATGAGGCAATATCTGATTATATTACATTTTGTAATTGTGAATTAAATTATTCAGAGCTCTTATTATGTTACATTTTGTAATTATAAATTAAATTATTTAGATATCCAATTCTGTAATTAAATATTTTTTCCAATGATCAGACAAAGAAAACTCAGGTCTCAGCTGCTGACTTACTCTGAGCAGCTCTGAGCCTGCCCATGTACACGTACTTGGTTTGTTGTTAGGTTGTGTCATAATTTGGTAGTGTTTTTATTATAATGCATTATCTATGTACATCCACAAGGTGAGGCCACCTTTGTTGTCGACTTTACACCGCACATTAATTAATTCTACAGACATGACGTATCAGATCTTGACCCAACAAATTATCAGGTGTGAGTGAGTTATTCTTATCAAAACCCTTTCATGATTGTAATCAAACAACAGATGATTGACACCTTACCTTCCAATTCCAACTTCTTCCAGATTGATGTCACCAAATCATCAGCAAGCCCACGGTAAGATCAACTCCGATGGCCCATTGTTGCTGAGAAGTTATAAGGGTCTTCACAAGATTATGTTTGAATCTTTTTCTCGATCTGCCTCATGATCAATCTCACACATCCGCCCCTCGCTGATATTATCTATACTTTTAATTAGATTCTTCTTGCCGACGGTATGTTTTTCTCTACTCCAATCCCTTTTGACATCTCATTTTGATTTTGTCTTTAACTTCAATCTTGCTCGTAATTTTAACTGATATTTGATCTTTTCTCGCACTCCACTAATAGGGTCAATAATTCCCAAGATGACCAGATCAAAAAAGAAATCCACCCCCACAAACTCTCCAAACTCACATGATCAGAACAACGCAACAACCTCCACATCTAAGCCCACGATTCCTGAAAAGCAGCAACCCAAATCCGAAACGACATTTGACATCCCGCCTAAACTCTCTACTTCCGATAATTCAAATAATGTATACTTTAAAATTGAAACTTTAGATGACAAACTCCGTACAATCATCTTACAGCATGATGCTGAACAAAAGCTTCAGGAAATCACCTGCTTGCAGATGTATCAAATCTTAGTACACTTCAACCCGGCAACCAAGTCTCGCCCATATCATAAGAAGGCCCTACTGACAAACAATTTTCTAGCCAACGTACTTCCTCTCGTCCGGCCATATGCCTTACCCGCGCCGACTACACAGCCCATGCAAACGAAGCAATCGATTGATAATGATTTTGACCCTCTCAGTCGGAAAACAACTAAACAACAGCTCACATCTGCTATTCGCAATGCTAATCCCAAGTTTACAATTGCACCTGGCTCTCGCACAGATAGCTTGCTCATCCTTTATAAGGCGTTCGGGATAAAGACGTATCCTCTACAGCAGCTGCCGTCCTGGGGGCCCACCTGATGACGCC